AAAGACCTTTTACACTCGAACTTTACGAAGTCACGCCGTGTTTGTTGTCATGTCTCGAAACAACTTTACATAAAGATTGTCACTTGTTATGCAAACATTTCATTCAAAACATTCAAAGTTATACTTGAAATCAGAACATAGTTCATATAAACTCTTATTTTCGATCAAAAGATTAAGGAATTTTGTAACGCAAAGACCTTTTACACTCGAACTTTTCGAAGTCACGCCGTGTTTGTTGTCATGTCTCGAAACAACTTTACAACAGGTACTTCTGGAACTTGTTGGGGACAAGCCTTGTCCGGGACTACCGGATCCAGACCACCTGGCAAGAGCTGCCAATAGAGCGAGACAAGGCCTGAGACCAGCAGAGCCGAAAACCCTGGACTTTTCCATTGACGAGCAGCATATCCCGGATGAATTCCTCCAGGCAGATGTGAGAGTTCGAAACCGACGCCACATAGTATTTGCGTCGAGTAAGCAACTAAAACAACTATCACAGTCCAAGTCATGGTACATCGATGGAACATTTAAGCTTTGCAGAAAGCCCTTCCAGCAACTCCTCAGTGTCAATGCATTCCTCAGATCCGGCGATAACACAAAGCAGGTGCCGCTAGTATTTGTCCTGATGTCAGGAAGAAAGAAAATCGACTACAAAAAGGTACGTACTTAGTTATATGCGCTTAGTTATTGAAATTATTGGCATTATTGGCACGTTATTTTACTAATACCATGTATATCAAATAGCTTAAATTTATTGCAATCTTCCAGTTGATTGATAATATTATTTTACTTTTTAGGTCTTCGAAAAACTACTGGAAATTTTGCCATACGAGGAACGAGTGACGGAAGKTACAGTCGACTTCGAGCCAGCTCTATGGTCAGCTCTACCGGAAGTTCTCCCGGACGTTAACTTGATTGGTTGCAGTTTCCACTGGACGCAGGCGGTTTGGAGAAAGGTAACTATGTACATTTTTGCAAAGCGCATCAGAACTTCTAGGATATTTTGCGCTATATAAATACCATTTTATTATTATTACGAATTATTATTCTGACGTCATTGCTGTGAGTTAAGGGAAAGGTGAACATTGGTTTATAGTAACCATAATATCCCATCATCACAACTCAGTTTTTTAATCTTCTAATTTCTTTCAACAGATACAAGAATTTGGACTCCAAACTGCATACAAACAGGACCGGGGCACCCRTGAATACATAAGGCAGATATTGGCAATGACCTACCTCCCCGCAGAGAAAATTCCCACTGTTTGGCAACGCCTGAAAGCAAAAGCCTCAACTGCAGCACTTCGCAGATTAGTTAACTATGTACAAGAAACGTGGATGGACGAAGACGGAATGTGGTCCCCAWTCAGTTGGAGCGTATATAACAGAGTCATTCGAACCAACAACGATGTAGAAGGATGGCATCACGCCCTCAACAACAGAGTCGCTGGGAAAGCAAACCTGCCGTTTTATCTACTGGTGCACCTTCTATACAAAGAAGCATTACTTGTAAAGATGGACATGAGGTTCGTGTCGGAAAGGAAAGTAAAAAGGCAGCAGAAGAACAAGACAAAGAGAAGGCAGGGGAAAATAATGAGGCAGTGGGCGGTATATAAAAGACAAGAGCAGAATGCAAGGGAACTTTTGAGGGCGTGTGCTA